GTTCACAGCATATTAAAACAAATAATATACCCAAAATACAAAAAATACACAATACAAAAATACAAAAGAATAAACCCTGATAAAAGCCGAATTAAAACCAAATATTCCCAGCTGTGTTACCGATTAAAATACTTTTAAAATTATCCCTACCTAAAATCCTCCCTAGGTCAGGCCCGCTTGCTGGAAAAGCCATGTCTTGTTGTTTGCAGTTCTGATTTGTGACGGTAATAAAAATATTCATTTATTCTAAAATCCACAGAACAACAAACCAACCTGAAGTTTCAAGTGTTAGGCAAAAGGGCACAAAGCAGAGCCTCTCCATACCAGCTTCGGGTCCTTGGGGGGACTCTGCCTTGTTTCTCAGCGGGAATCCCTGGCCTGCAGAAGGTTTCCAAGCTGAAGACCCTCACTCTCTACCCCGATTCCAAAGGGGCAGCTAGACAGGGAGTCCTGGATCCCACAGGTTGGTGATCTGACCGGGTTTAAGACGCCTTCACAGGGACAGAGAGATGCTTTAGAAGCAGCTGCATTAATTCACATCTGTCAGTTAAGTTTGGGGTGTCTCTGCAATGGGGGGCAATTAAGTTATTCTGGTCTGCCCGAACTCACAGCCAAACCTGACATGAGAGCAGCTCTCTGTTCAGAAACGGAGAGGCAGAACTTTCTTCTTTGGGAATCTGGGCATCACTCCGTGCCCGGAGTTGGTTTGCAGCCTCGGCTGCTCTCAATAATTATTGGGACGGTGGTGTTTAAGTATCCCGAATTGGCCTGAGCGGAGCACAGCTGGCAGCGGCAGAAATTCCTGAGCTTGGAGCCCCTCAACGGAAAGAGCTCTCCGGGCTGAGCGATGCTAGACAGCTCAAGAACGCAGCCAGCGCTCCTGTCCTTCCGGGTTACGTTAGGCCCCGTTAAGCTATCCGGTAGATCTAAACAAAGAGAGTTCAAGAAATGTCTCCATTCCTTCTCTCCCTCTCCTTCTCTTTTTCTCTCCTCTTTCTCTCTCTTCCTCTGTCTGTCTGTCTGCCTGTCTGTCTCTTTCTCTCTCTTTTCCTCTGTCTCTCTCGCTCTCTCTTTCTCTCTCTGAGGACACACATCCTGGTCTTAATTTGGAAACACCCACAAGACTTTAGAAGTCCAGCCTAGAATCCTCAGGAATGTCCTTCTGCACATGACCAGAAGCTAACCTTTCCTAGAGACTGTCCAGGCTTTGAGACTTTTTTTCCTTCCAAATGTTTTGCTAAAAGCAGCCAAACTGAAAGCCAATCCTTTCTTAACCAGCTGAGGGCAACCCCCCCTCCCCTTTGCCAAGCCTGGAGCCTTCCTGCAGCCCCCAGAGTGGGTGGTCTGGCCATCTGGATGTCTGGGGGGGCCGGAACACCTGGAGGGTCCTGGACGGGCTGCCAGATGTGATTGGTCCCACTTTACAGCAGTTGCGCTGCTTTCCAGCACCTCTAAAACTTCAGCAAAGCGACATTGTGGGTCATTGTGGATCAGAGGAGACCGAGAGCACTTGGAGGGGGTTTGCCAGGCCAGGGCCCCCCCCAGAAGCTATCAGAGAGGGTTTCCTTGAGGTCCATGGCCCAAATTTTGCCTGATCTCCGTCCTCTGTGTTTGAATGTTTTTCCTTAATAAGGGATGCTGAAATAAAACCCCTTCATCTCCCAGCCGCCTCCTTTTCTTTCCTGCCTCTCTTCCCCTCCCAAAGGGGCATCCACATTTTTGGGGGTGGGGGGGGAACATCTCGGTTCCCCGCTCTCCTGTGATCAGAGAGGCAGCTCTCTGGCTCCCCAAGCTAGCTTTTTGCCCTGTCTGGCATCCCAAATCCACTGTGTTCCCAGGGTGTAAAGCTGCAGGTTGGGGTGGTGGGGGTGGGGGTCTGCCTTGCACCCCCTCCCCTGTTTAAGGATCTCCTCCTTCAAAGGAAGTCAACTAGAGATAAAGGCTCGTCGAGTCTGTGGTGGCAGGGTAAAGACCATCACTGTCCATCAGACGACGACTCCCACCTCCGAGACGAGTCGAGAGGTTTTGGACTACATTTGTGGTTCGAATCTTATGGGGTCATCTTTAAGTTGAAAAAAATAGGGGACGACGTCATAGACCCTTCTTTCTTAGGAGGTAAGGAGCCAGGAACAAAGAGGGAATGCCTCCAACCCCGTGGCTTTGCGCAAACTGCCTCCCTTCCTCCTTCCCCAAAAGCATAACATATTCTCTAAACCCACTTTAGCTCTCTGTAATCTGAGAGCTCTCCGCTCTCTTGGCAGGAACAAATTATCAAATGGCAATTAAATCAACAGGCCAGACTCCGCTCGGGATCCCAGACCCCTCAGTCCCCCCCCACCAAGAGCCAGCTGCAGAATCTGGACCGCAAGAGGGGATATTTAATTCTACTTTATTTCAGGGGGGGGCTTCTCCTGTACTTTCTAGCCCCCTGGGCCCCCCAGGAACACGTCCACCCAATCTGTACTTGGACTCAGTGAGTCCAGTCAATAACACAAACAATGGAGTGATGGAAATAGAAGAGTTTAGATAGATAGATAGATAGATAGATAGATAGATAGATAGATAGATAGATAGATAGATAGATAGATAGATAGATAGATAGATAGATAGATAGATAGATAGATACCGTAGATAGGAGAGAAAGAAGAGAAGAGAGAGGGAGAGAGGGAGACATATATATATATACAATAGAATTTATGAACGTGCTACTTGAAAAGATAGGCAAATCCCTTTAAATTTACCTCTTTTTAATATTGTAAATTCAGCAAAGTCAGAAGAAGGATGCAGTCACTAAGAAAAGCAACAATAAAGGCTAACAGTAGAGGGTGGTTCTCTGCAGTGGGGGGTCTTCTCTCTTTAGGGCCCCCAGGCTCGCCATGCAAAAGAGGAGACACTACAGGGCCTGGTTGTGAGCCAATTGGAAGCACTTTGCACATGTACTTGAGAAAGGAAAACCCAAAGAACCCCAGCATGGAAGTTTATCAGTTGGTGTTGGGGGAGGGGGATGGAGAGAGAAGAGAACTGGTCAAGATAAGCACCAGAAGGCTTGGACCCCCAGACCTCCCCTCAAAAGGGTGCCTGCCCCAACCCAAACTTTGCAGCTTTGGGGAAGCAGATGGATGCCCATCACGCAGCTCCCGAGGGCTGGGCGCACAGGGGAAAGAGAAGGCGGCGAAACTGCTGTGTGGGCATCAAAGCCGAACTTTGCAGGGGTGCAAATTGTGCTTTGAAGCAGACGCAGCTTTGTCTCCCCATTGATCCACAGGGAGCCTCATTTGGCCTCTATCGGACAACAGCATCCCTGAACATGCCCAGAGTGCCTCTTCACAGTGGCAACGCTCCGGATGCAAGGGGGGAAATTCTGCTGACTGTTGCTCACCGGCCCTCCCGGCTCTTTCTGAACCCCTGGAATTAAAACAGGGGCAGAGGCCGCCTCTGGCCACCCTCGCAGGGGTCTCAGAAAGCGCCACGGGCTGCCCGGCAGGGGCGGGTGGCAGGATCCCATCAGAGTCCCCCACTGCCAGGGAGAACAGCAGAAAGACCCCGACTGAGCCGAGCCAGCTGGGCCCCCGAGCAGGAGAAGGGAGATGCCTGGCATGGACTCACCCGGGCCAAAGGCTGGTTCCTCCGGGGCGCCTGGATGGGCTCTGCTCTGCTCTGCTCTGCTCTCCGCAGCCGTCCTGGGCAGCTCTGAGCCAGGCCAGCTTGTTTGCATTAAATCTGGTTTCATGTGGGAATGGGAGGGTAGGAAGAGGGAAGGGCAGGACAGCCCCAAACAGCTCCCCTCTCCGTCCCTTCCCTCCTCTTTTCTTCTGGAGGCAGAGCCCCCTCCTCTCTGGGAGGGACCGTGCAAGGCACAAGGGGGGGCGGGGCTGGGGGGGGGAGATTCCTGTCCTGCACATCTTCCCAAAGGCAGAAATCCCAGAAATGGCTCACCAAACTTCTTTCTTTCTTTCTTTCTTTCTTTCTTTCTTTCTTTCTTTCTTTCTTTCTTCCTTCCTTCCTTCCTTCCTTCCTTCCTTCCTTCCTTCCTTCCTTCCTTCCCTTCCCTTTCCTTTCCTTTCCTTTCCTTTCCTTTCCTTTCTTCATATTTCATGTCTGTGGCAGTTTTGGACGAACCATCTGGAGAAAAAAAGAAAATGCTGGTTTGTTTTAACGTGGAACCGTTGCTCATATTTCTCTCTCTCAGTTCTAACCAGGCACTAACCAGGGTTCAAATGTAAATGCAAAAGTCGATGCAAAATTGCTTTAAAGGCAGGAACCAGGTGTCAAGGGAAGGGGCAAAGAAGCCACTTTCTAACTCCATAGCAAGTTCTGAATCCTCTTCCAAATTATTTGCCCCAGAAGAACATGGGTGCATCTGAGCATGTACTAAGTTTCTTCTCTTTCTCAAACAGCCTGTTTGGTTTTCTCTTCTCCTTGATTATCGTGTCTCACTGAGGAAAGATTGGCGGAGAAGACAAATGTTGGCATTACGCTAAGCTTTAGCGTGTTGCAGAAACATGATTGTGAAAGGGGCCTGTTGTGGCTTATTCCACAATCCCTGGGCAAATTGCATAATTTAATTCAATTAGATGCCAGCAAATGAAATGAGGGTGCTACGTTTCTAGTCAGCGCAATGGAGGAACGTCAAATTATATAGCAAATCCCTCCTCTTCCAGAGTCCGTAATGGGTGGTTCTGCTGCACAACGCACACACACACAGAGGTTTGTGGTTAAGGCATCTCCAGAGAACCATAGTTTTATTCCAGTCAAGCCTGCAAATGAAACTTGAAACCCTTCTTTGCTTTGAGTTTCTTAAGGACCCCGGGAGAACGCAGGGAGGAGGCGGACAGAAAGAGGGCAAGGGAAGAGTTAAGCTTTAAAAATTATTTTTCCCTCTAAAATGCCTTATCAGGATCGTAAATACATTGCTGTCACATCCCAGGAATTCTCACTGGCGGCAGAAAGAATTCCAAGACACGAACTTCTTTCCTATGAGAAAGAAAAGTCAAAGGAAGCCAAGACTGGGAAGATATTTGCAAAGGTTTCTGCCTTTCGGTTTTCCTGGCTTTTTTCCTCCCAAAAAGGATGTGGCAGTTGAGAAAACGCAGCTTCTCAAGGGCGCTGCAGCTGTAAGCAGAGCGAAGGCTAAGGGGCAGATCCAGAGAAGGGGAATCTCAGATTGTGGGGAATCACACGGAGGGCAAAGATGTTGAGGAACTTGAAAGCTGGCAGGTCTTTATGACTCCAGGGCAGGTAGTCAAAATCACACCCTCCATGGGCCAGCCTCCAGAGATCACCTGTGTGTGCAACAGGAACAGGAGACAACACACACAAACACACACACAGTAAGAAAGAGACGCGTGCCCCGCCTGGGAATACCAGGGAGGTAGCAGAATATAGCACCCCAAGCCTGGCACTGTTGGGAATTATCATCCTGCTGACATCCAGTGACTTCCCTGGAGGAAGCATGCTGGCTGGGGGATTCTAGGAGTTGAATTCCAGACAGCTTAAAGTAACCAAGGTTGAGAAAGACTGAACTAAAGGCTTGTCTCTCTTAAAGCAGCAGGCTGCATGGCTTGCCCCCCACACGGGGGTCCCTCCCAGGCTAAAACGATGCTGCCTGTGGCTTGGTGAGCCCCAAGGTCACCGTAGCTCTCTGCCACTCTCTAATTTGGCTCCTCCTGCAGCCCTGTGGAGACGCTGGAGCACAGGCCTAACCCGCAATTTAGCTGAATTCTCTGGCTAGGCTCTGCTTGTAATTTGGGTTGGGTATTTTTTAATTTTATTTTATTTTTGCTCTCCATCTCTCTCTCTCTCTTTCTCTCTCTCTGGATTTCCCCCCCCCCCCCTCTCTTCCAGCTGAGTCAGCAGCTCCATGCCCAGAGATTGCCAACTGCTAACCGGCTGCAAAGATAGTTTTTGTTGCGTAGCGTTTGCACACCTAACAGAAATTATTTGGCTCTCAAGAGTCTGCAAGCATTGCTTGCAAGTACTGCAAGTCACAAGGGCACTGAGAAAAGTGACTTGCGAGCAGTCCTCGCCCTTACGACCGTTGCAGCAGCATCCCCCACTGTCACACGATCAAAACGGCAGCGCTTGCAGCCGGCAGGTGTTTGCGATGGCTGCAGCGTCCCAGGCGCAGGGGAGCGCCATTCGCAATCCTCTCCACCTTGTCAGAAGAAAGAGTTTGGGGTTCCAACATGAACCGGGCTGCGCAAGAACAAATAGAGATCCAGACCGCTGGGAGGAAAGAGGAAATATTTACTCCTAAAAGCAAAAGAGTTTGTCTTTAGGGGTAGCTGCAGAGAAATGGGGTACAGGAGCAGATTTTTACAGGAGGGGCTTGAAGTGTCTACGTGTTGATTCTAGGGTGACACTTAAGAGGAGTGTGTGTGTGTCTGTGTGTGTGTAGGTATGTTAATTCTTATGAACATGCAGTTCTTCTGGGAGACCTAATTTAATTAACTCTGTGTTTGCAGACCTTAACCTTTGATATGCAGATCAGGTCTGGGTAACTTACTGTAATTGGGGGGTTTGAGGAAGTTTGCCAATTTTAGTTGATTCACTGAGTTTCAGCTTGACTGTCAATTATCTAGTGGGAGACGCTGATCCTCAGGCCATTGTGGATTCTGTTAATATTTTAAGGGAAGATGGAAACAGTACAAAGAATAAAATATATGGGGATATAAAACTTCTCACAACCTTTTCCGACTCACAGATTTTATTAAAAGGCATCAGCTGCAGCTCCCAAAGACTTCTTAATAAAATTTCAGGGACAGACTCCTGATGTTTTGCCCCCACAGACTAAGCCGGCTCTCCTCCTACAAGGACTAGAAGCATGTTTTGAAACCAGATGCCAAGATTAGGAGGAAACTAGGCTCAGTGTTGGTCTTTCTGAAAGGCCAGAGGGAAGGGCTCTCCCCAGCCAAGGGCTGCCTTGAGGGTTTTCGATCTTGCGTTTTCCAGGACACCGTGCCTTCTTCTGGGGCTTTCTGCACTCTGCAGATGGAGCCAGGAGACAGACTGTTGGGTCTACCCCGTTAATCTTGACTGTCTTCTCCTGGGTTATCTGCGGCCTTGGCTTTGACCAGAAAAATCAAGGCTGTGTGGCTTCACAAGCCAGAAGCAAGGATGACGAGAGGAAAGGAGAGTTTGAAAAAGAGGGAGGAGAAGAAGTATCCGAGTGTCTTTTCACAATAACTGGTGGCTTTCCTAATTTGGGGTACCAAACGAGGCAGCCCTAAGAATACAGACAACTGAGTTCTGCATCTGCTGATCCAGCAAATCTTACATTATCCCCTTCTTAAACTGAGATCATCGTTCTTGGCAGCCTTGAAAGCCTCCGTAACTCTTCTGGGTTAGGAAACCCTCCGAAGGTCTCTACCATCCCAGAGATGGGTGGGTAGATCTGAGCTGTTGCCCAGCACTCAAGAACCACGGGCGCCGTGGGGTCCAGGATCCTTAAGGTGGGTCCTGGGGAAGCCCATCCTGCAACTTGCTTTGGAGACCCCACAAGGAGCAGGAACGGGCTGCCTTCTTACACCCTATCCGTGCCTCAAACGGACAAAGCTGCAGGTCAGCTGAGTATGGAGGCGAAGCCTTTGGGGATGGATCCAGCTTTGACCACAGCTGGCAGCAAATGAAGCTGACCCTTGGAACCGTTTGCCCCGTGCCCCATCCAGGGCCTGGCCTCACCCCAGGCGGTTGGAGGAACGAGCCCTTTGGGGGAACACCTTGCCAGTCTGGAGCTTGGAGGGTTAGAAGGGTCAAATGTACAAAGCAGGGAAGGCAGTGATGGCTTTGCAGGTGGAGGCCAGCTCAGTGAACACAACACACACACACACACACACACAAACACATGAGCCTCTTTCTTTGGAAGTGGGCTGCAGAAACGGAGTCTTTTGGCTGAAGCTCAATGGAGAGCCGGTCCAGGAGAGCCGGCCTCGGCCTTGTGGGCATCAGGAATGCCTCTGATGTGTCCGAGGTTGGCTCTGCAGGGTTTCATTGTGGCCACCAGAGGGGCCCACCCATGCCCCCAAAACGCCCACCTTGAGGGAGGAGTTCTCTTCCCCAAACCGCTCCGTCCCCAGCGCAAGTTGGTCTCCGTGGAGCCCTGCAGCTTTGCACGTGGCGATGGAGGAGGAGGTGGAAAGCCCCATGGCTTTGTTGAAAGAAAATCACCCTCCTGGGGGGAATTGCAGACCCTTCCCACCCACCCCCCGGGAGGCAGTGGGGCCTGTCCTCCATGAGGGGAGGCAAGCTGCAGTGTCTGGAAGAGTGCAGCTGAAGAGCCCAGAACTGTCTGCATAGGGGCACGGCCTGGCTTGGGGGTCAGGGGACAAAGGCAGATTCCTGGACTTCTTTGGGGCAGGACTGGGTATTTCCAGCATCCGCCAGCTCTCAAGTTCCCACCCGAGTTTGCATGCAAATGAAACCCAGTTGCCTCCATCATGAACCGCTGGGTGGAAAGCACCCCCAGCTGATGTCTGGCCTTGGATTTTTCACTGGCCAAAATCCCGGTGACGACTCCATGGATGGCTGGGCGGAAAGAGATGCCGCAATCAGCCTTCCCTGGCAGCAGAGCTCTGTGCCTCCCAGCATGGGAGAGCTGATTCATCCTGATGGAATGAAGGTTTACATTCCCAACTGGGACGTCAAGGGGGAATTCGCCTCAGATGGATAAATCCCAAAGGCAGGAAGAATGGAGAGGTGGTGGATGTGGGCCAGGTCACAGCCTTGGGGGAAAGGGCTCTGGATCTCCTTGGGATGGGCTGGCACCGGGCATCCCCATTCAGCGTCAATGGTAGAAGGGTGGGCAGCTTCTGGGCAGGCTGAATTGGCAAGGGAGCCCGGAGAAGGAAGATTGGCAACAGAAGCATTGGCACCCTTGCAGATCCCTTCCTTCCAAACGAGCCTTATTTGGAGAAAGTGTGCCCACAGAGGGCATCAGGAGGGGCACAAAAGGCTAAAAGAAGCCATGGGTGGGGTCAGAACCACTAACTGACTAATTTAGAAGCTTCAGCTCGGTGTGGCAATCTGTGGAGGACGGATGTTTCCTGCTCCAATCACTTCTGTTTCCCATTTCTCTTCTTTAACCTTTTGCATCCAGGGCACTTGGATGTTGGCACCAGCTACCTCTGCCAAGGAAGTGCCCCACTCAGATAAATGCCTGGAAAATGATGCCCGCTTGTGTTATATCTCAGGGAAGAAAATGCAGAATGCCAGGGTAAAGCAGACACTTTAAAAAAAAACAACAGATGTTGATGCTCAGCGACTCTTTCTCTCTGTTTGCAATGCCCCACCTGGAGCCTTTTCCAGAGCTTTTCCTCTGCCAATTTCCACACTGTTGGCACTTCACAAAAAGGGGCACCGGCCTGTAGGTGCTCCAGAGGGAAGGCGGGAAGGAGGGGGGGCACAAGATCCAGGATCCACACGGCCTCTTTACAAAGAGGACTCTGTGCCAGCACTAATGGGGGTTTAGGCTGGAGCACATCTGGTTTGAATTGCAGAGCAGGGATAAATCAACAACAGACAAGGAAGGAGGAGACAGGAGCTCCTCCAAGGAAAGACGGGACATGGAGCGCAAGGCAGTCCTTGGATCTTCAAGACAAAGCAGACACCTCGCAACTGCAACAGCAGTTTGTATTTGGGGCAAAGAGAGCTGGCAGGCAGACAGAAAGAGACTGATGCTGGGCTTTCCTTGACAGATGGGTGGAAGCAATAATGGATCAAATTCCAGTGATTTATGACGCCCCCCCCCCATGCCAGGACTCCCCAACTTTGCTCGGGCTGAGAATAACACCTGAAGGCAAAATTCCTGCACGTTTTGGACCTACATATGTCTATATCCCCATTGCATTCAGTGCAGTGTCAAATGTGCTTCTAAACTGATGCACAGTTGATGTGTTTTGTGTGCATCCACGTCTATGGAGGTCTGGCTGTGTGTTTAAAATATATCAACATCTGCAAATATCAATAAATAGGATGTAAATAGGGAGATTGAAAGACCAGGTCTAAAATGATGTTTACACTTCTCTGTCTCTCTGATGGTCTTCCTGGTTTGGGGCGCCCTCTCGTGGCAACGAGGAGTGTTGCCATTTACTGTATTGTGGGTCAAGAGGGCTTTCCGTGTTCTTCAAATGCTTCTCCCAAAATGTTAGTGGTCAAGGATGCGTCACAACTCCAAGGAGCATTTTCAGGCTGGGAAGCAGCAGGAGAGCTATGGTGTAAAATCTGAGCAACCCATCTGGGAACTTTTCAGTGCTTTCAAAAGGTATTAAACATTTTTTTTAAAATGTTCCTCCAGTTAATCTAAAAATAATAATAATCCAGGAGTGGATGAGATACGTCGCATTTCTAACACATTTGCAAGTGAAGGATTTCCCCTAGATTCTAGAATATATTCAAGCAAAAGAAGAGAATTGCACAATAAAAGATTTGTCTGTAAACACCCCTGAAATTTCACAATCCAAGTGGAAAACCTTTTTATCTGATGCTACAACAGGAAAAAAAGTGTTTCCATTATGAACATCTGAGGTCGGTCAGCACAGAGATAGATTTCAGTTTTGTACGATTCTATTCAAAACCAACAACTCATCAGGAGCCAAAAGTCCTTTTCTTCATCCTTCCTTCCTTCCTTCCTTCCTTCCTTCCTTCCTTCCTTCCTTCCTTCCTTCCTTCCTTCCTTCCTTCCTTCCTCCCTCCCTCCCTCCCTCCCTCCCTCCCTCCCTCCCTTCTCTCAAAGGGGCTGCTTTGAAAGCTGCATTTTTTTCTCTCCCTTAAAGGCACCCCAGCTTCTGCCTCTCTGGGCATCTGGCAGAATCGAGACCCTGCCTTAACCGCAGTGGCTGAGACCTTCCTGGGGGGTTCTGCAAAACGAGTTTCCATCCCAGATTTGCATCACAGGCAGGCCTGGCCCCCTCTGAGTCATCTCCAAGGGCCCAACGAGATCTTTTCCTCTCGGGCTGATGTTGCAAGATTACCGGCAGAAAAGTCTCTTGAAAAGGGAACATACAGAACCTGTGAGTTTCCTTTAGAAAAACTGCCCATCTCTAAGGCTAAAGGTTTGGCCATTGCTTTGAACTCAGGGGCCTGACGATGTCCATCCTCTCTCCCCCACACAGAGGAGGAACTTCTAGTGAGGTTCCTCAGAACCTGCAGGTTCAGGAGACGTCTAGCTGAGATACATTCCTGGAAAGCTTCCACGCCTACTCTGGAGATTCCAGGAAGCAGTTGAATTACGCATCAGAATAAGAGGTGGATAAATATGTTTCCTTTCTGCAATGATGAGAAATTAATTCTACCTATTTCTGCACCATTTTTCCCCCTCTGTTTTGGTCAAAAGTCCACAGACAATCCATCTGCAATTTTGGCAATATTTCCCCCCAAAGTATTTTGCTAATTGTTTTCACTTAATTCATACTGTTTTTACAAGCTTCTTTCCTTTGCCTACAATGGTCTCCAATGTTTGAGGATCGCTATCACAACAGTTTAAAAAAATGCACCTCAAATTTAGAGACCAGCTGGTGAAAAATGAAGGACTTTTCTGCAAAACAAGTCCCAAGTACTAAGTGCCAAAAAAAAAAGAGATTGTAATTGGCAGGTGGTACCCATGACCAAGGTCTGGGTGGTGAGGAAGAGAAATCAAAACAATGAAGTAGAAATAGGGAACCAGAAGAAAGTTGAGGATGGATGAGGAGGGGCTGAGTAGTTTGTAGATACAAGGACCCCAAAACAAATGGCGGGAAGAGAAAAAATTCCTTTATGTTTTGTTGCAAAACTGGAAGAGAGAAGAGAAAGTTTAGAACTGAGGTGAGAGCAAAATCCAAGCCAGGCACAAGGAGCCCAGAATAGGGAAATGGGACTTTCCAGTTTTTGAACATCCCACAACAGGATCTGGGCTGGGCCCAGAATACAATGTTTCTGCACTGGCCGATTGGTTCCAGGGATGCTACAACCACTGTTGCGTTTCAAAATGTTTAATTATTTTAAATGTTGATTACTTAAGACTCCCCCTCCAGTCAATTTCAAACATAAACCCATCTCAAAAACACTCTAGAAATCTTAATTCTCTAGTAAAATACAAAAAAGAGGAAATGTCTAGGTCTGTTCTAATATTGAGACTTCACACTTCAGTTGTTACTTTCTAGACATGATGGCTTCAAAAAAAGGAAACGAGAACTCTTCCTGTGGCAGAGGAGTAGCTGAATAAGATCTTCAGGGTCTGGGGGAACAGAGAGGACCTAAGCCTTGAGCTCCTGAGAGGAAACCGAGTAAAATCTAACTAACAAATAATTTACATAGTTCAGAATGTCTCCTTTCTTCACCCCTAATTTGATCTGCAGGGCTGCAGAAAAACACTAGGCGAAGTCTTGTTTTTAACAAGCCACAATAGTTCTCCAAGAAACGACAGTTTGCAAAATGTAAATGTTGGGTTTCTATAGCAGGCAAACACATGCATGCATGAGTCAGTGCGATGGGTCCACCCAGATGAGAAGATACGGATGTACTGCAGATAGAGTCATCTGGGTGCAGAGGACCGTCTTGGAGAAGATCAAGAGGCTCTAAGAAGGTGGGCCAGAGATGTCTGGAGCACCACAAAAGCACCCTGTTAATGCTCTGGGAGGAAGCTGTTCAGAGTTAGGTTGTCCGCCTCCGTCTCGGACGCTGTGTCCCCGAGAAGTTGTACCCGCTTCACCTTGGGCTGCCTCCTCCTCCTCTCCTCCTCCTCCTCCTCCTCCTCCTTTTCAGCAGAGAGCAGGGACGAGATACAGACCATCTCTGTGTGGTTGGCCTGGCCCAGTCTGTAGGCTCTCTTCTGACGCCACAACATGATGGCCAGGACCCCAGAGCACACAATGAAGATGGCGGCCACCAGGGCCAGGAGAAGGATGGCCAGCAAGCACTTTCCCATCAGAAGGTTGATGTCCTTGGCAAGGGGAGACTCCCCTTGGGTGGTGGCTGAGGACCCCGATGTGGTAACACCCAAGCTTTGTCTTGGGGACCCTGTAGAAAAAGCTGAGGAGGTAGAGACCATTTCATCCAGCCATTTCTGTGTTTTATGGGGCTCAGGTGTGGCTGTTGCAAGGGGAGGTTTCGCCCTCGGATTTAGGCCTGGCCCACCTGAGTCCAAGCTATGCTTCTGGATGGCTGTGGAAAAATCTGTGTCCTCCTCCAGAGTCTGAGATGTAGACAAGATTTCATCCAGATGTTGTGGCATTGCAGTGGAACCAGATGTAGCTGTTATGGGAAGAATTTTTATTTTTGACTTTAAGTCTGGCCCAGGAGTGTGTGGGATGTGCTTCTGGGTAGCTGTGGAAAACCCGGAATCGTCAATCAGATTATGAAAGGACGCAGTAGATACCAGCTCATCCAAGGATGCCGAACTAGGTGTGACTTTTTTTGACAAAGAAGAGAATCTGTCTTTTCTTTGGGGGACAGGCCTGGTGGTCTCAAAGTCTGGCTCCAATGTCTCTGTGGAAACAGGGGCCTGAGGGGGTTTGGAGGTGGCATCAACCAGCCACGGCCACGTCACAGTCGTTTCCTGGGGAAGAAGCTTGGATGCTTGGATGCTAGTCTTGGTTTTTGTCTCAGGCAGCATGTTCTTCGGAGAAGCTTTGGATGCAATCTTGGTCATAATCTCCACAGGAAAGGAGGTGGTCTCTCCCTGCAGAACCTTTGAGAGGCTTGAAGCTGTTGGAAGGGATGGAGGCCCTTTGGCATGTTTTGTGATTGGTTCCTGTCTTTTTTGAAGGAGCAACTGAGAGGATCCCTTACTTCCATCAGCTGCTGCTTTCCACTTCCAATCGCTCGTGTTCGCAGGAGACTCCACGTTCTTCGTGCTGGTGCCATCTTGTAGGCTCTTGAAGTCAGCAACTATGAGGAAGCCTGAGAGAACCAAGGGCAAGAAGAGCCAGCAGGAGGCCATTTTACCTGAGGCCATTTTACCTGATGCAAGTAGGAGAAAGTAAAAGACGAGGGTTATCAGGTGTCCACACAAATAATCACCCTCTACTTTTTCCTTCACGAAAACATCTCCAGCATAGCTAAGAAACCATGGAAGTAGGGGGCTCAACATCCAACTTACCCAGTGAACACAGGATGGGAAAAGGTCTTTTATCTAGAAGATGATGAAAAATTAAAGCAGGTCCAGGAAGATATCCGGAGCACTTGGGCTCCACCTTCCCCCACGTTTTAAGATCCTCATTTCTGAGAACAACTTTTCTTGCTTCATTTGGGCCAAGAGGGATGCTCACCAGAGAGAAGGATCAGTCATACCAATATTTACGTTACCCACCCCCATGGAGATACTTTTGTGGCATTCTTGCACACAGATGACGGCCAGAACCACCACGTAAGAAGCCTGGACAGTCCCTATAAATCAGCTCAAAGTTTCAACTTCAGAGAATTCTGGAGGAGGACTGACTAAGATAGTTTCCTATGAGTTTACCACAAGTTGCAGCCCAGCCTTGCTCTCTTTTCAGAGAGGTGGTTGTACCCACTTGCTCACTTCCGTAATGCCCCACAGCACTCAAGAAGGGAACACAAGCGACTGCCACCGGTGGAGCGAATCCAGTTCTTCAGAACTTGAAGTTCTCGCCGTATCTCAAAGCATCCACCTCTTTGCACGGATCCACATACGGGAGGAGCACAGCACAAATGAAATGAAGTTTGTTTGCTTATCTTCACTAAATCAGAGACCCCAAAGCAACTTTCAACCAGCCCCACCCCTGGGAACGAAGTTCTGGATCACACCTTCCGCAACCCAGTTTGCCTCCAGGAGCCTACCACCTGGGCAGAACCTGAGGCTGCTTCTTTTCCCCACCACCATCATCCACCATCACAATGTCCTACTCTCAGGTGCCCCCCTTAGTGAACCAGCTCAGCTGCCACCCAAAGGAAACGTAGCCAGGCGTGTAAACGGCCGTTTGGTCCAAGAGCTGGAGAAGACATCTCTGAGGGACAGAGGCTACCCTTAGTACTGGCTGCCTGGTTCTCCTAGCCAACACCGGGAGAGATATCCCTGCGCCTTCCCCTCCGGCTGAATCCGGCTTACCTGCTACGAGAGAAAACAGGAACCCTGTGTCAGGGCAGCATGAGAATGCGAAATCAGAAGAGCGGTTTGGAGGACACATGATGCAGCTTCCTTGGGGGGGGAGAGAGGAAGAAGGCTGTGCGTATGAGTAGCAAAAGAAGAACTGTGGTTATGAGACTTTGCACCGGATCAGGGCTCAGGAGGGGAGGTGTTGCGCTTTTATCAGCAAGGCGGTTCTGTGCTTGCTTTCTCTGCACTAAGAAGGTGCAGGACCAGCTCAGGATGGCGACACGTCTCTTCACAGGTATGGAGGTTAGGCCCAAGAAGGCCTAAGGCCAACCGTCTGGAGGGGGTCTCCAAGGACCACCGTCGTGTAATGTCAAATTGGTCAAAATAAACCTGGAAGTTTCCAAATCAAGGGTTCCAGTGGCCAAGATGTCATATTGCTGTGCCAATCTGGAAGTGGTGCAAGTTTGGGGTGTAAGGAGTGACACCAGGCTGGGTAAGATGCAAAGGGTCTCGGGGTGAGGGCAAAGCCGTTGGGTAACCCCAGAGCACCTGGATTTTGAAGTAGGGCAACAGCTGTGAGATTGCCTGCAACTAATCCAGCTGTGCTCGATCTGCGAGCTGCTGTGGAGTTCCTGAATTTGGGGTGAGGAGCCTGCAGAGCTGAGATTTCTTGCCATGCCTGGGAGGAAGTGACACCGATGTGTAATCCACCAAGTGTCACTTCATAGGAAGGAGGCCACCTGTGAATTTTTGTAGGACCAATTTCTTTCGCCTCGGAGTTTGACAGGGAGATGCTGCCAGGCCATCCACTCCTGACCCCCCCCCCCCGTTTTCCTGGAAAGTAGCCCAGCAACCGTCTGATCTTCCTTCTTGCCTCTTCTGGAAGGGGGGGGGAGGAGGAGGAGGAGGAGGAGGAACTACTTCTGGGAGCTGAGTGGGATCTTCTTCCAGGGGAAGAACACACGGTATTCTCAAGCTTGTCCATCTTGAGATGCAGAAAGGTGTTTGGTCAAAACGGGCGTCCTAACGTGGGGTCTCAGCCTCAGCAGGACAGGCCAACTCTGCACTGTAGCAGAAGCCCACCCTGGAACTGGGTCTTCCTTGGCCAGCCTCGAAAGGGAACACGTTTTGATGGCTTGAGTTACACGTTTGGCGAACCAACCAGTCACCCCCAGGGCTCCCAGTAGCCTCTTCCAGAGCAAGCTGGTGCACAATGTGGGTTTGGTAATTAATTTTCTTTTAATCGTTTGAAATTGGAAGCAAGTATTTGGACATGACACAACGGGAGGTCTTCTACCAGCACATCCCCTCGGAGGCCACGGTCTAGAGAGCAAGAAGCTGCGGGCCCAGCGTCACCTGTCCAGTTAAATGAAACACCAACGGCCCAGGAAGCTTCTGAGGGACTTTCACCCGCCCTGCAAGAACCACACCAGGGAAACTAATACTGTTGGGGCAGAAGAAAGCACGCACGTTTCTGAAAGAGAATGATTGCGTTTCTTCCGTCTTCAATAGGGACATGCAACTATGGCCCCTTTACGATCTGTGGACTACAACTCCCAGAATTTCTGAGCCAGCCTAGCTGGATCAGGAATCCTGGGAATTGAACTCCACAGGTTGTAAAGGGGCCATAATTGCCCACCCCTGGTCTCCAAACGTCTGCTGACTGTAAACACAAAACATGCCCAAAGGTGAAGCTGACCTGATGTACATAACAGCTTTCTCCATCTTCGAGACTACAATTCCCAGAATTCTTGGTGTTGGCTGGGACTCTTGGGAGCTGCAGTCCAGAAGATGCCAAGTTGGAAAAACTTAATAGTTTGGCAGTGTAAATAATGAGGCCCTTTGAAAACTCTTCTCCCATCTCTAGCACAAGGGAACCAGACTCCTCCAGACTCCCCCAACTCAGAATTAACCACCACCACCATTCTCTAACTTTCCCACTCCTTCGTATCATTGTTCTACGACTATCTTATCTCGCTGGGTCTGCTGCCTCCAGCCCGTTTCCTGCAAACGTCCCCTTATCTGTCCACATGACTTCTTTTCCCACACGGATGGACGGAGATATCGCAAAATTTGCACTCTAACCTTTTCTGGGCTTTAGGGACCCTCCCAAAACAGTGGATGAGAAAGGCAGCTCTTCTCATGGGACTTTAACCCCTCGTGAAGCTGTGTAGCAGCAGCCAGCGAGAGGCGCATGTGTGTGGAGGGTGTGTGTGAACATGGTAGGCACATCATGCTTGGAGCAAAGAGGCCAACTACCTTCCAGACTTAGGACTTTGAGCCCCTGGAGACTCTCTGAAGGCCCAGAAGGAAGAGGATTGTTGGCTGAAGAAAAGCCACAGGACGACGTTAGAAATATTCATCCATGGATTCGCCTTTAAAGTGCCCAAATCTATCTGTAACATTCCCCACGTTCAAAGCTGTACGACAGGCTTCTAGTCCCCACGAGGATCTTTCCTGAAAGGTCTCTGGCTTTTGACAGCATCCCATGCCCAGAATCCGTCTGGCGTTTTTGTCTCTGGGGCCTATCCAAGGCACACACACACACCCAGATTGCAATCTTTTCCCTTGAGTACAGTACACAGCACCGTGGCACGTGGCTCTCGCCCCGTGGGAACTGCTGAGGAGTCACTTCTGAGCAAGACCAGGAGCTTTGAGAAGGCCTCTGCAAGACTGGAGGACTCTGGGTGGGAGGCTTGGCAAGAGGAGACCTGGGGAGGGAGGGGGGGAGGAAAGGCAGGGACTTCACCCCTCTTTCCATCGAGATCTGTTTTTGCATTCTGGAGAAGCAGCAGCCAGGGCACTGTTCCACCTGATGGGAGAGTCACCCTCAGTTGCAGCAGCTACTTCCGCAAACACCCCGGGTGTCTCCCAGATCCCACCAAAGGGACTGGTGGAAACTGGAGCCCCCTCTGAGGGAAAGGGGGAAATCCCAAATCCACTCCCCTGCAGCAGCAATTCAGAAAAGCAGCTAGATGGGAAGGTTGGGGTGTCCCAGACAAGGTCCCCCATCTCTGCTGCATTGAGACCACCAGAAGGAACGGAGAAGACCCCTTCTGCAGCCAGCAGGGAAGCTGTAAGAGCCTCTGGAGAGGATAGAGACCCTCCCTGGTCAACCCTCACTTAGGCTGGGAAGTCCCTTTGCAGGGGGCGGGGGGGGAGGACTCTCCAGACTGCCCATGGAGCAGCTGCAGGGCTGGCTGGACTTGCCCCAAAGCCCTGGGCTCATGCTTGCATCGTGGGGGCACTTGAGGCCATTTGGCTGCCCTGGAGGCCTCTGGCAGCCGAGGCCCTTTTGCTGGCAGGATGGGGAACAAGGAGGGTTTGCAGGTCAGCCAAGCTTGGAGCAGAGCAAGGGAGGGAGGGGGGTACGCATAAATAACTTCAAAGAGCTTCCCAACAGCTTGCAAAATTTAGTGCATTTGTCCTTAATGTCCCCAATTCATCATATTTTTTTTTATAACCTTGTAACACCTGGATGATAAATAGAACAAACAACTGCAGGAAACATGGACCCAGAAATCAGCAATCACAACATGCCAAAGTTTGACACGATTAAGATTAAACCAAAGCTCAACAAATGTTTGAATAAAGGCTCCCCAGATTTGAGAGAGGGGGCTCTGGGGAAGGTGGGAGGGGGGGTGTTCAGTCCCTTGGAATGGCAGCGGGTGGGAAAGCGAGGCTGCCTCCCCCCTCCTCAAATCCACGCAGATTTCAGGGGAACCAGAAATCGGGAGGGCGGAAACGTTAAAATTGGGTCTTTCGGACCCGGCAGTGGGGTGACCGCCCCGGTTGCTCAAAGGTAAAACAGGCATACACAACTTGTTGTTGTTCAGATGGCACAAATAGACGTCCTTTTAGATTAAAAACACAAAATACTGTAAAAATGCTAGAAAGGAAAAACAAAAACAAAATGAAAAGTTTTGGATTTTGGCAACTCGAAAGTAAAATAAAAAACACGTGTACGTGTGTGTGTGTGTGTTTTCAAACAAAGTAATTTTGGTCCCCGATGCTAGGAAGTTCGGCAGGGATCCCGGCGTCTTACGGACCCCGTGGAATGGCTGACCCTCCGACCGATGGACAAAGGCGAGGAAGGAGGCGGCAGTGCCTGTTCTGAAATGGCCACAAAGACATCAGGACACAAGAAGGTTGGCTGCCCTGATGGACACGGGCGTCCGCTGACCGGCCGTGACGGGGCTGGGCTCCCTGGCCGTGCCTGTCCGCAGCCCTGCAGGTGGATCACAGTCCGAATCCTGCTTCCTCCTCCCCCTGCCGTAGACCCCCCTCCCCCGCTGGCTCTCAGACGGCCATCTTCACCACCTGCTGTTCTAATTTGGAAATGCGCTCGTCCTGATGCGCGATTGTGTCTTTTAGCGACCGGAGCTCCTTCAAGATTTCTTCCAATTTGGCTTCGTTTTGCTGCGACAAGGAGAAAGAGACAACAACCGTCGGTCCTGAAGTGGGGGTGGGAAGGACCCAGAATGGGGAGGGGGGGATAAGGGAAGCCCCCAACCCAGCTCGCAGCTTGACAAAGAGGGATGGATTTGCACCAGGCCCAGAGACTTCTGTCTGAGCAAAGGACAATTTCCTCTGGGTGCGGAAGGACTGGAGACCTGGGGTGTTTCTACTCACAGGGTTTGAGGTGTCCATCGCTTTCTTTGGGGTGCTGATGAGATCACTCTTCTTGTTGGCAGCCGGCTTGTTGTCCAGGATGTTCTTCTTGACCACCTTGAGGTCCCGGTTTTTCCCTGGGATGTAGCCGTGTTTCAAGGAGATGAGGAGGGGGTCGGCGTTCTTCCCCTCAAACCACTCCTCGGCTTCCAGGGCGGCTTCGGGCCCAGCTGTGTCAGGATAGAGGTCATCCTGAAAGAGGTCAGACTGGGAAAGGAGGAGTCAAAAAAAACAAAACAAAAAAGTCCGCAGTTAGGCCAGTCAACTGGACGGAGCCCGTTGAGCCAGTTTAGCGTGTTTGGGTCTTCTTGGCCCGAGTGGAAGGCTCCCTGCCAGTACTATTAGCCAAGCGTGAAGGAGAGCACTTCAAACTTCTTGGACCCTTCCTCTAACTCTTCTGTTCGGTCGTAGAGTCGCTGCAGGCTTCCTCTCCCCCTCATAGGCCCCCTCCCTCCCTGGTCATCAGAAACCAGGCCGAGAAGCTGAAGCAGAGCCAGGACAGTTCTGCAGTCCCAAAGCTTGGCAGATTTTTCACCCCAAGGACTCAAGGCCTCCACTGGGGGGGTGGGGTTGCGGTGGTTCAGGGTTCGAGGGACAACGGCAAGGCCTTAAGGCGGCCCAGGCTCCCCGCTTGGGGCTCCCCCGCTCGTCACCTGGCGATCTCACACTTGTTGACATCCAAGCCCCTCTTGGGCATGAAGCCCATCCCCCTCTGGGGCTCCTTGCTGCTGAAGGTGTTGAGGTAGTGCACGAAGGGGGCCTCGTCCGTGACCTCGAAGTAGCGGATGCTGCTGTCGCCCTGAGGGAGAGAGGGGGGGGAGGAGTGGCAACGGTCGTTAAGTGTGAACAATTGTGATAAGCCGTTTTTTTCAGTGCATTGTACCTGAACAGTCACTAAACGAACTGTTGTTAAGATGAGGACTACCTGTATTTACTTATTATTAAGCATATAATAAGGAATTAGCTGGGCCTTTATCCCTGCCACTTCTGGGGCAAAATTGTTCTAATTTTGGCTCACCTTCCCGCATAAGTAGAGGATGTTTGTGTCGGGGTCGTAGAAGGGCAGCAGGACCCCGTTGCTGGTGTCCATTTCATGGAGGGCTACGGGGTCGTCCATGTTTTTCTGCAACATAAAAGACGCCTTTTTATTTCAAGAAGAGGCATCCCGCAATCTGGCATCCCAAAAAAGATGCTGCCTCTGCCAGAGGGAAAGAAAACAGCTTCTGAAATTAAAGCAAACGCTTCTGTATTTAGGCTGCTAGAAACGCGGCTGGCTGGGGAATTCTGGGAGTTGAAGTCCATCCCTCTTCAAGTGGGCAACGTTGGAAATCCCTGCTCCAGGGGCGAAAGGCAAGCCCAGCTCCCCAGAGACACTGACCGGGTTCCAAAGGGCCAGCTGCCTTTCGCTCATGCGGCTGAACCCCGTGGTGAACACGTTCCCGTCGGAGAGGAAGATGGCTCGCATCGGCCGGGCACCTTCGTGCGCCTTCTCTTTCTCCTGGAAGACGGGACAGAGAGGGACAGAAAGGGAAAAAGTCACACTCCAAGGTTACACACAGGTGTAACAGATAAAATGGGTGTCCAATTTAGTCTCTCAGTGTCGCGTGGAAAACTGACATGATTTTATGGGGTGCCATGGATGCACTTTTAGGCCGAAGGAAGGGCTGGATCTCATTCACCAAGACAGGCGGCAGGAAACTCTCCCTGCCAAGGCTGCCCCTGCCCCGCCCCCCCCCAGGGAGCCCCCTGGAGACCCACCGCGATGATCTCCTGCTTCCGGGGGTTGATCACGCGGACCTTCTTGTCTTTGGAGGCCGTGCAGATCAGGCTGCCGTTGCGGTTCCAGCTTACATTGTAGATCATGTCTTGGTGCATGTCGTCCAGGTTGATCAGGGGCTCCCCTGTGCCCACGTTCCAGATGAGGATGGCGTTGTCACAGCCTGGGAGGGGGAGGAAACTGAGGCAGGGGCGGCAGTAACTGCCTGCTGAACTCAGACGCAGGGCTGGCTCTTCCGCAGTTCCCTTGAAGGACCCAACCCCAGCCCCAACCCAGAAGACCCACCGGAGCAAGCCCGTCGCCTCCCGTTTCTCGGCCTACCTGCGCTGAGCAGCACGTTGCGGGCGGTGGGGTGCCAGGCCACGATGCCCACCCTCTTGGAGTGGCCTTCCAGGATGACGACAGGCTCCGTCAGGGAGAGCGTGAGGCCGTTCTCCGGGATCTGCCAGACCTGCCAAGAGAAGGAAGAAGCTCAAAGGGGTTACTGGAGCCCTGGAGGGGAGTTCTGTCTCGGGACACGGGGCCAACAGCAATTCCGGAGGGAGCTTTCTCTAGACAGACTTCTTTCCCCTTCGTGGGCTGCTGCTTCTGATGTCTCTCCAAGGAACTCAGGCTCTCTTTTTCGTCCTACATCGGTTTCTGTAGCGGTCTCGGTTCAACATGTCCCCCCAAAGCGGCCTCCCCTGAGCACTGGTTTCTCTTCAGAATGTATAAATCTTTCGCCTTTTACCGAGCCTTCAATCTACTGCTTGCCCCCACAATGGCTGGACAAGGTGCCTGGTGGGCCACCTGCAAGCTGTCAGGTTGCTCAACCTGCCCTAGAAGGGTCTGCAGTGGTCACCGAGGGCTCCTTCCCTACTTAGAAGCCAGGACAGTTGGGAGTTGGTCCATAAGTCTTAAAGTTGCCACGGTTGGGAAACCCTGGCTTAAGAAGATCTCACAAAGGTTGTCCCACCTCAGGGTAGATGCATCAAGAGATGTTCATTTGTGCCTCATGTCCGGCGTCTCCAAACTTGACAGCTTTAAGACTTGCAGGCTGGGGGATTCTGGGAGTTGAAGTCCACAAGGCTTAAAGTTGCCAAGTTTGGAGGCCCCTGGCTTCTGTTCTGGTCAACCACTCAGTTGCAGGCGGGCCAGAGGGAGGCAGTAATGAGTTGTCCATCGTGCTCGCTTCCCCCTGGAGGAACGGCGGTTCCTGTGAGCGTGCCCAGCCCTGCAGCCGCCTGGCCTCCCGAGGATATCCGCCATCAGGCCAGGCCAGCGCAGGAAGAGCCATTTCTGCAGAACGTTCTTCTCCTGCTAGTAGGCTGCAGAGTCTCCCCAGACAGCCTGGACTGGAAGCCAACGCCTCTCTCCGCTCCAATGTTTAACTCCGGCCAGACCTCCTAATGACATTAGTTCCGCCTCACGTCCTCTGCTGAGCATCCCCATCCCCAACGGTCTGCCGAGCGAGTGGGGCCTTGCGATTGGCTGCGAACTGCTACCTGGGCGAGCAATGAACAACAGCCGGGAACCACAGCCTGGAGCCGCTCCTCCCCAAGGCTGCACTCACCATCACCGTGCAGTCCTCGGAGCCGCTGGCGATCACTTGGTCGTTGTGGGGACACCAGTCGATGTCCAGCACCGGCCCGGTGTGGCCACAAACGGTGGGGTACGATTTGTCGATTCTACCTGTCTGGAGAGGAGGGGAGAAGGAGGCCGTCAGCCAGAGGCTGAATCACAGGCACACAAAGATTGTTATCAGAAACATTTCCCTGGCAGCTCCTGCTCGGTTGGCGGAACTGGGGACCACGAGGACTCCATCGGGGAACTTTGGCAAGCAAGCAAGCAAAGGGTGGGCGCAGCCGTTACCTCGTGGCCTCCCTGCAAAAGTCTCTACATCCCCCTCCCCCGTCTGAAGGCATCAGCTCTCTGAAAAGCAGGAGCTTTTTTTTCACAATGTGTGTTTGTGAGAAGGACCGGCACACCCTTCCGGCTTCTCTGGGCCAGGCGGCAGCGCTTACGGCTGGATTGGCAGAGCTGCTTTCTGCTCCTTGTGCGGAATGACCCTTGGATTGCAATTTGGGCGACTTCGCAGCCAACGCTGGGCAGGTGAGCCTTTAAAGTCCAAAGTCCACTGTGCAGCGCTAACCGTTGCTTCTTGCCAAGGCCTGGCCTCGGGGCTGCTTGCCAAAATCAAAAGCAAGGCTCAGCCGAAGGGGGGAATCAGCGAGAGCATCTCTGACAAGGGAGGCCGAGCAACAAGGAGCCAGGACTGCTTTCCTTCTGAGGAGGGGGGGTGCGTAGTGGCAGGGAAGGGACGGGGGGGGGGGACAGTTGCCNGGGTGGATGGATGGCAAGCACGTCAGTGAGCTGTAAGATGGCTAATTTCTTTTATACCAGCCTTTCCACCCAGGGCTTCACGTCTGCCCCCAGAGACAAATCAACCGAGTCCCACTGACTGACATATTTCTGCACAGAGGTCCCACGATGGAAGTCCTGTTTTGGCTGCAGGGAAATCCTTCCCAGATCCATTTCTGGATCAAAGCTCAGAAAAAGGGAAAGGGAGGATCCAAGAAAGTGGCACTGGGGGCTTACGTATATTCCACCATGTTTTATTTTACAGGATGGAGTGGAGGAGGAAAGATGCCAGATGACAAAGAATGGCTTTGAAATGCAAAATAAGACCTCTCCCTTTTGTCTCTTCTGAGGCTGTCAAGCCCTGCCCCCCCCCAGGCTACAGACCCCAGCCGCTGCTTATTTCCTAACAAGGGCCCCCATGTCTACTGAGAGCACCCAGATGGTTCCTGCCCAGGCACCAGGCTTAAACGGAGAGGCGCTGCCACCAGATCAGCCCTCGACAAATGGCCATTAATCATCCATGAGGCTGGCTGGGATCACCATGACTGACCCTCTTTGAGATAAGGAGAAGCTGCCGTTCCCCAAAGGGGGGGGGGTCTAGCCTGGCAAGGCCACCCTCCTTCAAAGACTCCTAAGCGTAGAGTTGATTCAGGCTACACCAGAGACCCAAAACAGGCATGTCTCAGGAGAAGCCTTGGAAATGGGTGGCGACATCAACGATCAGAGGATGCCAGGGTCCTGCTCCATCCGTCTCTTCAGGCAAGGAGAAGCTCTCAAGATCCGACAGAGAAAAAGAAAAGTCTTGAAGAACAGACGGAGGGCGGTACACGTAGCTTTGCATCAGTTCGTAAGGTGATGTAAGAGAGGGAGATGAGATCGGGAAGCAAGGCTAATCAAGACTAATGAGAGAGGGAAGCAGGACTAATGAGCAGTGATTCTCAACCTCGGCGCCTTCAAGATAGGTGGACTTTCAGCTCCCAGGATTCCCCAGCCAGCCGGGAGTTGAAGTCCACCCGTTTTGAAGGCGCCCAGGTTGAGAAACACGGCAACAGAGAATGAAAGCATCTCTGGAGACAGCCCTGGCCGTACGCCACCCTTCTGTGTGTTCACACAAAATGCCACGTCGCTTCTTAGCTGAAGGACAGCACCGATGTGACCGCCATGTGTGCTTGAGAGTTGGGAAAAGAGAGACAAGGAAGCCAACTGCTCTTTCCTAGCGGAGACCCAGCCGCTGCGCCAAGGGTGCGATTTCGGTTCTACTGGCAGCTTGCGTTGCTCCGGCCAGTTTCTCCCTGAAGTCCTAGATTTTTCCAGGATAGCTCTTCCATGGGAACCATTGCAGCCACCGAGGCATTCGTCCCCAGCACTTATCTCTGCTGGCCTGGAAGCACACACAACGGAGCCATGAAGTCATCCCCAGCGCTGCCTCTCTGGGCCCCGGCTGGGATGAGATAAGGCTTCCTCTCCACCAGGCAGGCCGGGGGACGTTCCTGTCTTTCCTCGGAGCAGAGCCCCCCTCGTGGTCAGAGCTCTTCCAAGGGGTCCCTGGTGCTCTCTGGGCCTGCTTGTTTTCTTGCAGGCTTTTCGTTACCCAAACTAGTTAACGTCATCGACGCTATGGAGGCTCTGTGTCATCCAGGTCCTGGCTGTCCCAAAGGTGCTATTTCTAGAGGCAACTGGACTTCGTTGTTTTTTTTTCTTTGAAGGCATTTCCCTTCTTATCCAAGAAGCTTCTTCAGCTCTAAGAAACTGAAGAAGCTTCTTGGATGAGAAGAGAAACATCTTTGGGATCATCACTGCTAGTGATGATGTTGCTTAGTTTGGGTCATGAAGCATCTGCCACACCAAGCTCAGAGAGCACCAAGGACCCCACAGTCCTCCCACCCCTCCTCCCCCCCCACTCCCTTCTAGCACGGATGATGTCACCTAGTTGGATAATGAAACGTCTGCAAAAAAAGAATTTCTTGCACCAGTTGCAGGGAGCACCAAGGACCCCTCATTCTAACCCTGAGCTACAAATCTTCTCCTTTAGAGTTGTTTTAAGCTGCCTGCAGAGGCCTGCTTGGTGTGGGGGGAGCCTGGCTGCCCTTTTCTTCCTCTTCCTCCTCCTTTCAGATGCGCAGATTTCAAGCAGTCTCGTTTCCCCCAAATTCCTGCCACTTTAGGAACCAACGACATATCAAAGATACGTGCCAAGGTCTGCACAGACATAAATAGGCAGAGGGTCTTGAATCCCTGAGGGGCGCAGTTACCGTGTCTGGCTTTGTGGGATGGGAAGAAGGACAGCAAGGCTTTTGAGGAAGGGAGGCTAAGAGGTGTGCCCTGGCTGGGGAATTCGGGAGTTCACGTCCACCCTTCTTGAAGCTGCCAAGGTTGAGAAACAGCGCAGTGGAGCAGGAAACCCTTCTCCTGCTCTTAAGCCTCCAACCCTTTTCCTCGCTGGGGGGGGAGGCAAAACAAAAGCCGGGGGGGGGGGACACACAGTTGAGCAATTCTCAGCACCACCAAACGGTGTGGATCCCCCCCCTGCCCAGCCGCATGCAACAACTTGCACACCCTTCCTGTGGAAAATGTGAGCTGGACCTTTTGGGAAGGCACAACCGGCCACAATAGGGAGAGAAACTGAAGTAAACTTCAGGCCAGCAGGACAAAAAAAGACGCTTTGGTCGAAGACTACAAACGGCACAGCCCGTGTCCTCAAAGAGAAACACACACTGCCTGACCCAAAAAAAAAAAAAAAAAAAGGAAAGGAAACCCTCCCCCCCACACACACACCATCATCAGCCCTTCAGTGTGTATTGTGCATTGACTTGTTTATTTATTGAAGGGAAATTGTTTGGGAGAGGAATAGCAAGGATGTCCTCTGGAGCCTGGGAGCCGGCCTGCCCGCCACCTCGCAATCCAGAGCTGGTTTTTTTTTCAAGAGCGGTTCTTGATTTAGCACCGGTGGCTCCCAACCGAAGGGAGGGACATCTGTGTTTGCAGCACGATGCTGCAGGCAAAGGGTGAACTCCTGGCCAAGGCTCACCGCTCATGAAAGGGAAACAGGAAGAAAAAAATCAAGTTCCTTAAGAGGAACTCCACCCAAAAGACAAAGTTTTGGCTTGGAAAGGAAAATCTTTCCAGCCATTTTATTATTTCCCTGGGCCGGCCTTCCAGAAAGCAAGGACTCTTCCTTCTCAGCAGGGCTGGAGTCTCAGAGTGACGGCACTCAGCCACAACTGGGGTGTGTGAAGGCCCGCTGCCTTGTGTGAGAGGAGAACTTAGCTATTTGCCCCTGGCTCTCACTTAACCTGGCCACCCTCCAGAAGAGTCCACTTTAATTCCCAGCGGCCTCAGTCTTGGACTGAGGAATTCTGGGCGCTGACGTCCAGCCAGTTTGGGAGAAATCCTCTCTAAATCTCCAGGGCAATGAAGCTCAAACTCTGGTGAGGAGGGGTACGTTGGCTACCACTAAGGCTTCGGGTCTGCTAGGTATTTGCCTCCCTTCAGTTTTCCTGTCCAAAGTCCCTCGGTTTTACTCAAACGAAGACCTCTGCAACGGAATGGATTTCCTGGCTTTGGCAGGCCACTGCCCACTCGCTGCCCCTCCCAGCCTCCTTCCTGGAACAGCCGGTGGCCAAACCCAGAGAGGCTTTGGGGGTTTCCCCACCTGCCTTGCAATTCCAGGCAGGGCACGTTCGCTCTGCCTGGGCTACCAGCATCACCCTTCAGGTCACCGATGGAGATGGTTGCCATCCCAGGCTGCCTCCCAGGGCAGAAAGGCCCAGAGGGGAGAGAGAGAGAGAGAGAACCCTCCTCCTCCTCCTCCTCCTCCTCCTCCTCCTCCGCTCGGCTCAACGCGGCTGCAGCAGCAGCAGTTCCCCACCAGCCCTCCATCCTGTGGGCTCCGAGAGTGGCCAATCAAAGCAGAGGGTGGGTATTATTCAGGACGGCTGCAGCCGAAAGAGATCTGATGGCCATATATGGTAAAAACCACTGCCAGGGCCTGACGACGGGGCCTGCTGCCGGTAGACTGATTCGTGGAAATGCTGCAGCCCCCGTGGAGGCGAGGCTGAGACGCGCGCGGCGCCTCTCGAACGGAGCCCAGAGAAAAAGGGAAACCGGGCAAGCATGGGGGGCAGGCAAAAAGAGCACAGCCCACCCACCCCCCATGATAGATGCTGCTGCTCTGGCTGCCTTGGCCTCCCTCTTGCTGCTTGGGGGGGCAGGGGGCAAGGAGGAAAGAGCTTCCAGGGCCTGTTGGGGGGGGGAGAAGCTAAGACTGCAGCTGGCTGGGGAGGCCTTTCGGCTCTGAGCTCTCCCCCTCCTCTTTGGGGCAGGGTCCTTGCCCGCCACGGCCCCAGAGAAAAAGGCCCTGCCCCCGCAAAGGGCTTCTTGCACAGAGGAGGGAGGGCGGAGGAAGTGAGCCAGCCACCCCAGGTGTGCTGAGGTCCAGGGCTGCAGGTGGGGGCTGTCCAGGCCGGTCCCTGGGCTTGGCTCAGTCTTGGGAGCAAACGAGGGAGCTTCCCTCTTCCCCGGCTGGAGACCAGCGAGAAGGGAGGGAGGGGGGAGGCCGTCTCAGCTCTGTGACTCACTGCAAAGGGATGTGGGTTGCCGAGATCCAGCCCACACTGGCCTCGCTTGCAAGGGAAGGGAAGGGAAGGGAAGCCTCTTAAACGGCTCACCTCTCAGTTCTAAAACACGGAGAGGTGTGGGCCATTTCCACCTGCAGGCCTGGGGGATTCTGCCCCAACCCTGGACAATATATGCCCTTGGGCGGCACAGCTAGCTCCGTGTATTCCTCAGGAAAAGGTTCACTGCCAGCTGCACTACCCAAAATAACAGAGTTGGAAGGGACCGTGGAGGTCTTCTAGACCGGCCCCCTGCTCAGGCAGGAAACCCTAGGCCACTTCAGACAAACGGCTGTCCAATTTCTTCTTAAAAACCTCCAGTGTTGGCACACCCACAACTTCAGAAACTGCACTGGGGAGAAATTTTCGGTAACGGACGCAGGGACGGGTAGATTGCTAGAGAGTCCCAATCTCCCCTCTGCTGCTTCACCCTTAGTACATTTTGCATGCTCCACAGGCCGAGGGCAAAGAGGAAATCCACATTAAAGCTACGGGTCAACGCTCAACATTGCGGTAACAGGGGAAAAAAAACCAACCCAACCCTTACCTTGTGTAAAGGCAGAACCAGGAACGCCCCTCCCCCGCTGGCTTCGATGATGATGGCCACGAATTTGGGGTTGACTGCGCAGAAGGAGCTGTCCCACGTAACCCGGGACACCCGGATGTCGTCATAACTCTGGTCATTTTTCACCGCCTGGCCAAACACGTGCCGGAACTTGCTCTGTCGCACCACTCGTCTCATTGTTTCTGCAGAAGGGAAGGTGCGAAAAAAAGTCTGATTGACTCCGATCATTTCTATTCTGCAGCATTGCCAGCCAGTTGCTGTCACTGGGAATCCTGGGCGGAAAACAGGCTTTTAAAGATACACCTTTTCTCGGTGCTGCCCTAAGGGAAAATGCCCTCTGGCTTGTAATGTTGCTTCTCCAAACCGGTCCATTTATTATTCAAATTTTAAACCCGACTATATTTGCATCGCTGCCCTAGAAGATACACTGTAATAGATATGTTTGTTTAATTTACATTAATTGTTTTCATTGGGAGAAATGTCAAATAGCCTAGGGCAACAGTCAAACAAAAAACACCTCGAAACCGCAAATAGCATTACTCAGAATTGTTACTGAGGACATAAACTGGGCTTCTGACTCATTTAAAAACAACAACAGAAATTACCAGCTGCTAAATCAAATATTGTGGAATAATCAATATTTGTAACATTTTCATTTTAAGCAGGACAAAAAAAGAATGCAATTAGGTGGTTTGAGACCAACAATAACTATAAAAACAAATGAGTTAACTTACTGTGAAACAATGAAGAGCTTATTTAAATATCGCTTCAATCAACATTTAGCTAAGATTTGCACAATGAATCTCTCTCTTTCTTTGGCCTTCTTTAAAACAAAGGAAATACATTGAAACAGAGGAACAGATTCTGCTCAAGAGAGTTATCTGGGCCAGTTCTTCCCTTGCCAGCATCGCGGCTCCGTGGAGTTTTTGGCAAAGCCTTAGATCCTTCCAAGTAGCTGGAATTTCGGTTTTCAGAATTCCCCATTGGGGGGTGGGATTCTGGGCCTGGCTGGGGACCCCCCTGGAAGGCACCAGGCCACAAAACCCGAAGGGACCCCCTGCCATTCGGAGCATGCTTACTGCAGAGGAGCAAAGGGCCCCCCTGCGTGTGGGTCCACACCCCTGCATCCACGTCTCTGGCAAACAACGATTAGGGGAGAGGACTGAATACACACTTTCCGATCAGACCTCAACAAAGATAACCTCTACGGTCGGTCGGTCGTCTCTTTTCAGAAAATCACGAGATGATAATCGGCAGCAGAGGAGGATGTGAGCCAGCCAGATTGAACAACAAAAAAAGCAGATGTCAGAAACGCTAAACCGCAAAACATCCTGCTCAGCCAGCCCTGGCTGCGTTCTGAATAATGGAGCAGCTTCCCGCTTTGGCTGATCCATCCGCAGAGCCGTCGCAACGCTCAGGGCTGCACTGCCAAGGCAGGGGGCGAAGGAAGGGGAGGGTCCCAGTGTGGACCCCAGTTTTCAGAGGGAGAGGAACATCAACAGCGTCCAGACCAACAACAATGGAGATGGTGCAATTATTCGGAGACGAAACCGCCCCAGCAAGCATTCCTAAAATCGCCGCTGCCCTCTGGGAATCTCTGGGGATCTCTGGGGTCCCAGCCTTCGTCTAACAAAACTTAGCAAAGGGGGTCTGCGTCACCTGGGAACAGGAAGGCGACCCCCAGCTGCTTCCGGACAACTGCCGGACGGTCCCCGCATCCTCTTAGCAGCAGACTTCGCAGGCCCTGGGGCCATGGAGCCGGAAGGGGGGGTAGAAACCCACTTCTCCCCACTCCTGAGCGAGGTGGGGATGGTGGGCTTCTCTCGGCTGCCTCTGGGATCAGGGATATTCTGCAGGCCGACAAGCAGATGGCTCATTAGTGCAAAGAAGCCGCTGCTGGGGGGGGGTGTTACTTTCCCGTGACCCTGCCTGACAGCTCGCAGCTCCTCTTGTGGCTACTGGACTGGGAAGACTTGCCTGGGCTGCGGAGACAGGGGCTTGGGTCAGCCAGAGGGGGAGCAGAAGGGTGGACGAGACTGGCTCTGGCCTGACTCGACCTAAGTGGACTCTGATGTTCTGACCGTGTGTGTGTGTGTGTGTGTGTGTGTGTGTGTGTGTGTGTGTGTGTGAACCAGGATGCTCCAAGACGTGCTAAACAGGGCTGAGCTGAGTGCCGAGGAAGCCCAGAATGGCAAAACTAGGAAGCTGCTGGAGGAAAGGACCCCTCCATCTTGCCAATCTCTGATTGAAGCTCTCCAGATTCTCCCCCTGCCCTTGAATCTCTGTTACGCCCCTGCCAGCATCTGCTGGGGAACCACCTTAGTTACGTGATCGAGAGCCAGAGAAGGCGAACGCCAGAATCAGGACTTTACTCCCACCTCAATCCTGTAAACATACTGGATTGTGCACAGTTTTGCTTTATTTCCCCTCCAGATTTTGCTCACGTTCCTGAGCTTAAATTCTGTGCATCACGGGGGGCGGGGAGGGGGAGAAATCCCCCACCCTCTTAGCCAAAATTGGTAAAGAGAAGGAAGGGATGGGGAAAAGAAAGGCATTCTCGCAGCCTACAAGGACGACACCCCAAAGGGCCCAGCATCTCTCTCGTTCTGTGTGGGTTGAATCCTTTCCGAATTTGTTTTGCCAGAGAGGCAAGGCAGAACCTGCGCACGGGGTATCAACACATGGCTGGTCTTCCTCCTACAAGAAAGAAAGAAAGAAAGAAAGAAAGAGAGAGAGAGAGAGAGAGAGAGAGAGAGAGAGAGAGAAAGGGAGGGAGGGAGAGAGAGAGAGAAGAGCCGTGCTAACTGAGCTTCCAAGGAACGAGAGACTGGCTGTCCTCCTGAAGGTGGCCTTCTACAGTGTTTCTAAGGAACATTTTCTACATTGCACTTTTTAGGTGGGGCTGAGATGCTATGCGCATGAAGTCAGGCTGACAGAATTTAATATATTGGAAGGGCCCTAATTTGCAGGGAGTCTGTAAATTAAGGAGCACTAAAAGCGTGAGAAAGCTGAGCGCCATTTCTAAAAATGGGCACGAAGTTCAGAGCTGAGGTGCCACAGGCCCACTGATATTTTTTTCTTTCTTTTTTTTCCTGCATATGTTCTGTCTCTCCACCCACATAGAGATGTCCACCTTGCCAGCCTTCCCTGCTTCCGACTACGTACTTCCTTCTCTGCAGGATTCATGCAGGGAAGCACAGACAAGGCGGGACCAGAAGCAACGGGTGGAAACTTATCAAGGAGAGAAGCAACCTAGAACTAAGGAGGAATTTCCAGATTGTGAGAACAATTAACCGGTGGAACGACTTGCCTCCAGAAGTTGTGGGTGCTCCATCACTGGAGGCTTTTAAGAAGAGGCTTGGACAACTGTCTGAAATGGTATAGGGCAGTGTTTCTCAACCTTGACAATTTTAAGGCATGTGGACTTCAACTCCCAGAATTCCACAGCCAGCAATGCTGGCTGTGGAATTCTGGGAGTTGAAATCCACATGCCTTAAAATTGTCAAGGTTGAGAAACACTGGTATAGGGCTTCCTGCCTGAGCAGGGGGTCGGACTAGAAGACCTCCAAGGTCCCTTCCAACTCTGTTATTCTGTTAGATGTGTACTCTAAGCTTTCCCTAAGTGACCCTTGGCTCTGGAGCACAGCTTTTTGATCAGGCTCCTTTGCAAAACAAAAAAATGTAATAAAAAAGGGTGGGGCTTGTAGGAAAAAGTCCCATAACCACGAAGGCTCTAGGTTCCAATAAAGAGTTCTCGTGAAAAATCAAACAAGGTTCACCTCCTGTCTGAAAGCGAAAGAAGGCCGCTCTAACCCCATTTAAAGCTCTGGAGACGGTGCTTTTACCTAATTAGGTGTTGCAAGATGCAGACGCTGCTCCTTCTCCTTATGATAAAAGTTTGGGGTGGGGGGAGTGAGAGAGCAAATCCAGCTGATCATTATGTGCTGTAAAGGTTGGCTCACTTTTTATCACAGCGCTGGAAGGAAAAAGGAACCCCCGAATGATTCTTGGGGGGGGAGGGGGGTTTAATGAGAGAGGAAGGGAGGAAGGCGAGGGAGGGGCGACATATGTGGAGGCACTTCCTAGTTTTAACGAGCTCATTAATTCAGAGGCTTCCTAATATTTCCCCAACATCATTTCTTTAGGGAGGAGATAAAAGGAAATCCACCCACAGCTTAAACAAACTGGGAGAGATAAGAAATTGACTTTATTTCGCCTGGTGTTAATTGCTCTTGAAAGCCACACGCCCATCAAGCACTCCGGCCTGAAGGCCAATGTGGGCCATTGCTGATATCCAAAACTGCAAAAATCAGGACTTTGTGCAGTGGAAGGTCGAGATTTGACCAGGTCGGGGTTTGTCAACCTTGACAACCTGAAGGTGTGTGGACCTTGGAAGCAAATGAAATCCCCTTGCTCGGAGGGCACTCAGCCAATTTATGCATGAGGAAGTGAATCCTGCTATGGAAGTGAGCGGAAAAGACACCACAAAAGCAACACACCCCTCTTGCACTCCGAAGAGCGGATTCTTACAGGAGGCCAGGGAAAGTGAGAGAACGTTCAACATCTCCATTTCAACTGAAGTAACGTTCTAAAATGTCCAAATCACAAACATTGTGAGTGAGAGAGCGAGCATCCTCCACTCCTTGGCTATCCCAGTTTTTCACACTGGATATGGGCCTTCCTCTCTTTCCTACTCTGCAAAACCTAAATTTATCAGGTGGCTTAAAGCTATTACTCTGTTTCCTTACCGGTGTGCAATGACAAACCAGGAACTCAACTCCACCTCGTGGGAACCGCCATTCTGCGGCTGTATTAGCAGAAGGGTCTGCTTCGGTCAGTCCGAAACAACCAGCAAAAAAGGAAACCTAACATTCAGCTCTTGAAAATAGAGCCTGCTGACTTCCTGTAGCAAGTCAGACCACAAGCATAAAACCAAACAGCTTACAAAAAGTGCAACAAGCCTGTTTCACAATTCTTCGGCGAAAAAAGCAGAGCCACGCACCGTGGCTCTCGGCACGTCTGGATTTAAATTGCCGTGAGCACCCAAACACAAGATTAGCTCTCTGAAGGACACGTTGCCAAAGACGTCCGTGCCCCGAATGGCCCGTGCCATGAAGCATCTCACCGACCCTCCAGCAACACGCAGAGGTTTCCGGCAAAGAGGCTCTTGGGAAAAT